GCTGAACAAGTTCTAAACCAGAGATCTATTAAATCACGCAGATATTCCTTAATTGAAGTCTTTAGAAATCTTTGGAAATCTTTGGGAATCTTGAAATCTTGAAATCTGCTTTTCCCCCCTTAACAATACTTCATAATTGCGAATTATATTATTCCCTCTATTGAAAGGAAGGTAATGCGTTGAGCAGCTCCGATGACAAAATATTCGTTCGTGTGTTTTTTTATACAGAACGAGAAGAATGTTTGTTTGACCCTTCATGAGATCGCTTCCAAGAAGGGTTATCGGACGTTCGCTAATAGGAATTTCACAAACTGGACTTTTGCCATTGGTGAATTTCCAATGAACTTTCTCAAATTTAAGGCCTCCCCTCAAAAACCGATCTCAGCCCAGGTATGTTCAAATGGCATGAAATTTTCAGGATATGTTGGGGCTGTAGTGGAGAGGCTACGGTAAATTTTTCAGCTCGATACTATGACGTTTGACAGAGACATGCACCAAACAAGGGTCAAAAATAGCTCATTTGGCAAACAAGATTTCTCTGTTCGGGCTCCTTCAATATATTAAAATTTTCTTTTTGCTTGAAAAACCATCTCAAGATGCAGTGCCTACCGGAGTTCTTTTCTTTTAATTCTTACTTTTTAAGCGAAGAAGAGAGATCACAAGTTCAATGGCTCTAAAAAGCCGCTAAAATTGGTTGCCAATTTATATAAGTGATTGTATATATAATAAAAATCAAGCTTAATTTAAAAAAAAAGGGCTCTGCTAGGCACTGCATCTTGACATGCTCTTTCAAATAAAAAAATTTAAATATATCCCATGGACCTGGACTGAGAAATTTGGGTTGCGCGTTCGACATATCATGAATTGAGAAAAAACGAAAAAAGATTTTCGGTTTTTTTCAAAAACAGCTTATTTTTCAAATAGGGGATGATGGAAATCTTCAAAAATTTTTGAAAAAAATGAGGTGCTGAGTAAAAATTTTTGTCGTTTATGAGAGATCAGATCACGGGCTATCTTTCCCTGCATTTATCTTAATTTCGACCATTCTGACGAAAAGTGACTTCTCTTGAGCGAGGGGGGGGGGGGAGGGAATAGTGGCGTAACCAGGAAAAATCGAGTGGTTGGGCTCAGCCCTAACAATATTTGGGATGGTCGTGCAAGGTGATAGTGTTTCTTTTTCATAGAGATAGAATGCAACGATGTATTCATTTTTACAATCAGACTGTTAGAATAATGTTCATTTATTTAGTGGAAAAAATTGTTAAGTTACATGGTTAACTTTTAATAAAATTTCATTATTTCTATGGGAATTAGTGAAACGATCCATCGGTTGTCCAAAATTGATGTTAAAATCGCGCTGCACTGCTAAAGCGTTTAAATTCCTCAATCTAATATCCGACATTATACTGCGTGTCGTTGTTTTAGTAGATTTCATCTTCTGAAACATTCTTTCACATGTAGTAGATAAAATCCGTGTTGCCATAGCATTGATGGGAAGAGATATTTTCGTGTAGGAGTGCCTACTTACATGGTAATCGTTCGACACATATTAAAAATGGTTGTTAATTTAAGAATGTCTCGGTATTGTTGAACTTCGTTTAATCCATGGGCCACATCCTTTCATTCTATAGAGATAAACTGAAAAAATACTTAATAGCATTACATTCGGATTATTAATTACCGAGCAGCATTTTAACAAAAGATTTATCTTATTTAATAGAATCACAAAATCGTTTATGCATTTCGCTTCTAGAATTTATTAGGAAATAAATCTTTGCTGAAATAATAATACGCCAATAATTATTATCACAATAGACGTCTCTCTATCACGAGATATAAATAACAATTAAGTATGTATGCAATTGACGATCAACTTAATATGAACCAACAATGAAAGAAAATGTTTGTATTATTGATTAATAAGTTTAGACATATTCAGGCCAAATTAAACGTTTCACCATCAAACTAAATACTTCAAAAAATAAACGTATGATGGAGTACACAATGCAAAATATTTGATTTTTAAGATATTTACAATGTATGTAAAGTGCCCAAAATTTACGATTTCAACAGAATTTCTTTATTTTTTCGTGATGATTGCATCGAGCTCGGCGAGTCGCCAAAGAAAATGTGTTTTTCAAACTTAAAAAACTCAATTTTACAAGTTTCAGATATTTGAGTCTATTTTCCCCTTTGCTGGAAAGTAATGGCATGGTGGACTTTTCGAAATATTGTGTTTTTAATTTTAAAACATATTCTGTTATGCAACTCGACGGTCTCGTTCCAATTATCATAAAAAAGTGAAACATTTTTGCTGAAACTGTGAATTGTTGGCATTTAACGTACGTCGTAAATACTCTAAAAATTCGAATATCTCGATCAGTGTACGTCATCACAATATTATATGTTGAATTTTTTTCTAGTTGACGGTGAGATATTTAATTTGGTCTGAATATGTCTAATCTTATTGACATGACAACACAAACATTTCCATCGTCACAAAGGAAACCAAAGAAAATATGAATGTCTTGCATTTTGCTGATTGATCCTTTTAAAAAACAATTAACTTTTTTTTAAATAGCCGGTGGTTGGGCTCAGCCCAATCTGGTCCTACCCTCGTTACGCCACTAGGGGGAGGGAAGGCCTTAAGTAGAACGGTAGTATTGGTTAGAAAGATTGATATCAACTATATTCTTAACTGTAGAACTTGAGGTACATTTTTATAATGCTACAGGCATAGTTCTTGTACACCACTTACGATATGAATGTTCCATTTCCATTAATGAAAATCTATTCGACTTTCGCTAATTCGTCCTCCTGGATATTCGCCAATTGGCGAAATTTCTGTGGACTACCGCCAATCTATCCCTTGGAAATTCGCCAATTGGCGAAAATCCACTGAACTTTCGCCAATACACTTCTGGATTTTCGCCAATAATTGACGAAAGTCTTATTGGTGAAGTTCCGGAATCCCTCCAAGAAATCTAACAACCATGATCAATAACAATTTCAATCCAATCAAATGGTTTCTGGGTCTGGTATTCAACCAATGAGATTTCAAGGGCTGGAAATTCAGCCAATCAGATGTTTCTGCGGTCCAGCTGTGAGCTGATGTGTGCTCTCTGGGTGGGCATTCAGGGAATCAGATGTTTCTTCAGTCTGAATCTCAGACAATCGGTTTTCTATAGTTGCGAATATACCCAATCAGATGTTTTGTTGATTTATGTTTCAGCCAAAGAGATACTAAGCGGGCGGCTTTAGCTAGCCAGACGCTCTTTAAGTCTAGGTGGTAGTCAATGAATTATCTAGAGTTGAGAATTCAGTCAATCAGATGTTTCTTCGGTCGATAGCTCAGCCAAAGAGTTTTCAGGAGTTTCGAATTCATCTAATCGGATATTTTTTCGGTCTAGTCTCAGCGAATGTTTTTGAACATATTTAACAACGAACAGGCATCCTTTCTGACATTCATTGAGATTTAAAAAGATTGTTATATAAATGTCTAAGAGAAACCACTAGAAATCTTATCACTGCAAGGGTCGTACTATTTCCAACATCCACGTCCAATCGAAATAAAGACTATACTGACAATAATTTGACGAAAGATTTGAATAGAAGAAGAACAAAATAGACTGCTATCCTGTCTGTCGTATTCTTTTCGGTTTCAAATAAGAATTATTGAAATAATTTTTTTGAAAACTAAATACTATGAAAACAAAAGGAAGTTCTATTAGCTGTTCAGCGATTTCCATAAGAGAGAAAAGTAATTCGTAGCTCCCAGAAAATGGGATAGTTCGATAGCTGGATTAAAAAATGATCGAAATAATCATCTAAGATATGCAAATTCATGGTAGAATAAGCCTAAGCTGTCTAGAAACAGTCGAAAAAATCTCACCTTTGGAACCGCAAATGGTATCGACACTGGGGTAAGGAATGCTACAGCTAATATTTTAATTCTTTATTGAATGTTAGCCTGATCATTCTATCTGAGTAAATGTTCATCGAAACTACGCATGGTTTCATCTTGGATTGATATCTCAAAGTGAGTCTCTCAAAAACTCAAGCCATCTGTAAAACCGTCTGATAGCATGGACGCCCTTATTTTTAACATGACATTGTTATGCTACAACTCTTTTCTTATACGAGTTTCTTTCATTCCGCGAAAGAAACATCATTGCAGTAATACTCATCAGAAAGAAATGTAAATATACGTCTTAACACATTGTCTGAAAATTTAGCATTGTGAAATTAAAGATAATTTAAAATAAACATAGGTCGATGGAAGCAAAAATTTCGCGATTGATCATTTTAGTAAATTCCTATCATACCATTTTCCTTTCAGTAGAGGGCTTAGTGACGTTTGCGTCGTGTTACTTGTTATAATTAATGATTATATTTTGAGATGTTATTAAGTATTTTTCCATAGCTGTTCTTTTTTTTTCTCTCTCTCTTTTCTATTTTTATTAATTTTATTCATTTCCTATATTCATTTCCTGTTCTTCTAACTATGGTCTATTTCACATCAATAAGCATTGTCTTTTTTTCCTATCTAATATCCATTGATGGTTCGTTTTCAAATCATACAAAATATAATCCGAACACAATATCTATGAATTCATATAGATCCTATATTTATAATTAGTAAAGACATGAAAAACAACAACAAGATTGAGGAGTTGTTTTAAAAAACAAAAATTTTTGTTTTTGTCATTACTTGATTGTTGTCAGTGTAATATGAGTTCATTCATAGGCAAAAAAAAGGAAAAGGAAGTAATTTAGTATTATTAAATGAAATGTAGTAAGAGTATAACAGTATGGCAATCGTAAAGAGAACTCCGAGAAAACGGACATAATAAAGGAAAAAGCAGAAGAATTGTTCTGTCGTTGCGTTTTCCGTTCATGAGGAGAAAAAAGAAAAAAAAAAGGGAAAAATTATTTTCAGTCACACATAAAGAATCATCCACACAAATACAAACGTCAAGTATAAAAGAAATAACTAGCCAATGTCAACAATACCACCATCAACACCACCAATATCATCATCACAACAACTTAATTTTGCTCCTTTACATCGTACAGTTGAATTAGAAAATATTCATGAACAAGTTACACAAAATGATTTCGATCAAAAACAAGAACCACCAATAGCACGTAAAATACTAACAAAATATATGACAGTTATTGGTGATGGTAATGATATAAATACACTTAAAACATCAACACAATGACATATTTATTGAATCGAACTAGGTTTTTGCTTCTTCTTCTTCTTCTTCGAAATTTTATGAATTATTATTTCTTCAATGTTCATATGAATTTTATTTTCAAAAGTATTTAAAAATAAAATCTATTAGATATAATCATTTAATTATCTAATTGGTAAGTCTCGACTATAAGAGACTTTTGAAAAGTTTCAAATCATTTATTATTAATTTGTCTATAGAAAAAAAAAATTAAAATATCTTCATTTAAAAATATGATTTTGATGTAATGAATATTATAACTAGAACACATACTTATAATAAAATTCAAGTATTTCTATTCGTCTAATTGAAAATTATAAAATTCGAAAATATATTTTTTATCATATAAACTTTATTCATTCAATAGATTCAAGTATGACAAATTCTTCAAACTCTATTTTGTATTTCTTTTTTTTTGTTTTATTTATTAACATGTTGAAACGATTGATGTATAATACGTTTTTTGTTTTTTTGTACAACAAGTAACATCATCTAATTGAATTTTTATTTTATACATGATGAAAAACATATTATTAAATACTTCAAACATTTGAAAAAGTTTCATGAAAACTCAAGTAGAAAAAAAATTTTTTAAAAATGAATTTAAATCTCTTAAACATAATTTCCATTTGTGAGTGTTTTCACTTCAATTCAAACAATATTAAAAATAGCTATTTTAATTACAAAAAGGTAATTTTTACATCTGGAAAAAGTGCAAACTATTTTTTTTTTGTTGTTTTGTTCTGATATATTTTTGACATGCTATGCAGATATTTATGCATAATGTATGTCAAAAAATATTTTAAGAAAGCCTTTAGGACAAAAGTTACTTTTGTTTTTTTAGCAACGGAACATAGCTATTATGATAAAGATAATTGATTTTGATATTGTTTGAATGAACGTAAAAATAGTCAAACGGAAATATATTAAAATGTGTTTTCAAGTATGTTTATCTATTTGAGAAGTTTGTACTTCATAAAACTTAGTAGCTAAGTTCGATTTATTTATTTTGTATAGAAAAATATTGAATATTTGAAATTTGATATGAGATAATCATTCAAAGTAAATCAGTATCAGAGTGAATAAATCAATAAATATCTAATGATTGTTTTTTTTTTCAATAGTTTATTAAAATGATAATTATTTATAGAACATATTGATTGAAAAAATGATTTTCTAAATCTGAAAAAAAAAACAAAATACTTTTAGTTTAAATTACATTAACTATTTTAATATTAGACAGAAATATTTTAGTAATATTTCTTGTCTTTAATAACCATACAAATAGTATTGAATTTTGATCGTTCTTGTAATATTTATGTTTAGTATTTCTATCATAACGAAGATAATCTTATATATTTAAATTAGACAAATTCATTGTCATATTTATTTCTTCAAATTATTTTAATGAACTATTAATAATAATACAATCTTGAATTAGTAGAAATTCTATCGTTGTAGAAAAATAAATGAACCGAAGTATTTTATAATTCAATGAATATATATATATATATTAATTTAACAGAATTTTAAAAAAGAAATCATAGTAATCAGTAACCATGTAATGATATTTGCCGTTCCGATGATGTTTGATAACGATTTTGTCGAAGAAAATTTTGTTTAACATATCTTCTTACAGTTTTCTTCAATGGATCAGTTAATCGAATAAGCATATAAGCAAGAAAAATAAGTGAAAATGATACAGATAACCATCCAATTCTATATGTTACATATATAAGATGACCAGTAAACATAAAAATAGTTAAGAAAATCATTGATGGTAAACCAAGTAAAATAAGAATACTTAACATTAGAAGAATTCTTTTTATTACTATTAAATCTCTTTTATTTTGTCTTGAACGTCGTTGATGATTATCATTTATTGTTATAGATGATAAATTTGATTGACGAACATATTTTAATAAACATAAATAAATTAATGTAATAAATAAAATTGGTAATAAAAAAAGACGAATTGCTATATAAGTTATAGCTGAAATATTTGTAAATGGTGTTTGACAATAATATTCTGATCGAAGATAAATAACATCACCACGTAATAATACAGGTGATATACTCACAATACCAAAAAGTGATTCAATTGGCACAAGAATTGAATAAAGAGGAAAACTATGTAATTGTTTATGACGATAAAATACAACTCGACAAAGACGATATGTTGCTTGCAAAATATATGAATCATAAAGAGCACAAAGAAATCCATGAATAAAAAAACCTCGTAAACGACACCATATGGTATTGTTATGTTGTTCGAGAACAATATTCATATATCCAAATAGACTGGCATTAGCCATGCTTGCTAACATAAATGCAGAAATAAATAATGTTGAACATGTATTGCCAGCTAATAAAACTGGTACAGAACGAGATCGTCGATGGGAAATTATAATTAATAAGAAAATCAATGAACAAATAAGAATTGTTAAAATTGAATTAATCAATGTTAGAAGATTTAAAAAAATGTTTATAATAACCCAAGCATTCATTGCACTTCTTACGTATTGTTTACAGACATATATGATCTCTTTTATATTATCTAAATACAAGGTATATATATATATTATAAGATGTTTTAATTAAAAATATATTTGATCATGTCATGAAATTATAAGAAGAAAAATAATTCTATATTAAAATTAAGAAAAGATTTGTTTGCTCAAATTAAAGATTAAATTTCTACTCAAAAATTATTTTTAGTGTCGAAGATTACCAATTACCTAGTTCTTCTTTGTTTTTATAAAAACTTAATTATAAATATTAACCTGTGTAAGTCTACAATAAGCAGAGTTAGAAAAACCTATCTATCTCCTCTGTCTATTGAATATTTGATGATGGGTCTTTTTTTTCTGTTCTAATCTATTCGAACTATTAATAAATGAGTACAAACTTACCATTTAAAATGAAAAACATAAGTTCGTTTTTTTTTGTTATGTAAGTTTTTTGACGAAGAAAGAAATTCGAGTATGGTTCTTCTTTCTCAACCACAGTACATCCAATCGAGTGGAAATTTTCTTCTGTGAATTGAAGGAGATAAATAGAAACTAAAAAAACATCCGGCAATCTAAACAATTCAACTCTATCAGATATATTGAAGCTGAAAAAGCGAGGCGTCTAGAAAAGCTACGTTTATCTTTTATCTCATACAGGAGAGAGCAGTTGTGAATTTTGAGTCGATAACGACTTTTGCTTTACTCATTAATATGTACCTGTTCTGAAACTTCCAAAAATTTTCTAATGAACTGTTCTCCTAAAGTAGACATTCTGTACAATTATCTACAAAACTCTATGTAAACAGCTTTTTCAATGAAATAGATATGGAATTATATCCAGTCAACGCTATAATAGTTCAAATGACCTGCTTTCAAATGCGTATTTGTATAAAACTATAAAGTTCACTTTTTCTAATAAGGGAAATACTAAACCTTATTCTAATACAGATTTTATGTATTTTCAGGTATACTCTTTCTAATAGAGTTGAAAAGAATCTATTCAGATAGGATTGTCAGGTTCCAGTGATCAATATTCTTAAAAAACGACTTACAAACATTACAGAAAAGAAAAAAACTGCTCATATCAAAATGATAGATGTAGCGATAAATAGAAGAAGATGGGATGACAGACTAGAGGGGTAGCTTACCGCCACCTTCGGTAATGATGTTTATTCGCTACTTTACATCTCCAGGATGTCTCTATTTCACATTGAACACAGGCTTATATATGATAGAGAAACAAAGAGAGAAAGACGATACAAGTAAAACAATAGAAAGAGGAAGAGGAAATAGGAAACGAGAAGAGCAGCGAATCGTGACGTATATATCGGCACACCCTCCCACTCAGATGAGACGTGCTCCTGAGCGTCTTTACAATTTAGAAAAAAAAAGAAACAATAAAAAAATTAATTGGATGAAAGAAAAATTACATAAAAACAAGTTCATTGCTTGAACTTAATCGTAGAGATCAAGGGAATATACGAACGAAAATTTCGAGTTTCATACATAACATCATATCAACACACGTTTTCATAGTGTTTTAGTATCGAGTCAAGAACATAACAGTCAACAAAAAAAGAGAGACAAAATTTTTGAAAAAGTGGTCTTCACATTTAACACTCATAAATTCAGCATCACTGTGCCGATATTGATAGCACGCTCTGATGATTTTCCTTTCCTCTTTCTTCTTTCTTCTTTCCTCTTTATCCTCTCTCAACTATTCTTTCCTGTGCTTATCTCTCTCTCTCTTTCTCTCTCCTATATAAGCGTGTATTGTATATGTGAAGTAGTTACACTCTGTATATGTGAAGTAGCTGAATAAACATCATTACCGCGGGTGGCGGTAAGTTACTCAAACCAATTTGTCGTTACAATCACATTTCAAATATAAATAGAACATTATTCAATACGAACACGGCATACAAATGGTGATCTTCATAGCTTCAATCGTCATACAAAAAGAATGTTTGACAGAGCGCACAGAATGAAACAGTATAGAAATGTAGAATTCATAACACATGTATTATCAGTCACGCTTTTTCGCACATTTTAAAATTCTTAGGATATAATTTCGAACAGCAAGTCACACGTATCAATTTTAAAGCACAAGAAACAATAAATCAGTTACCAAAGTTCAGTACATGTTTAGTCATTAGTAGAAAGGTAAATACTCCAATTCATAGATTACAGAAACTCTTGTCTAGTACATAAACGATACCTAGGACGGTTTCTTTCTACGTTTAAGAGCAGATCAGCTCAACACGCATGCATAAAAAAAAATCAGAGAGAAAAATACTTGCATCATACCGCAGATTATCAGACTATCAAAGACAATAGATTATCAAATTATTGCATCTTCTATTTTCACGCTTCGTTAGGCAAGAAAAAAACAATTCACACTTCATATTTGATATAATCAAACATAACACTTTCATTACATTAAAAATTTTTCACTGGCTCCAGGCATTTCGAGGATGATATCTTTTTCGTTGTAATTTTGCACATCTTCCCATATCTGACTGTTACGCATCGTTAGTCAGCAGGATGGTCAGTAGAATGAACTGTTGGTCATGCTCGACAAGAAGGATCCAATATTGACGATGACTGAATGTTAATTGTTTACGGCCGATGCACAATTAATTTCATGCTCATCGATGTCCATTTGTTCTTTTGTCGCTTCCTTTTTTTGGCAGAAAAATAAGTTTGAATGATGTGCGAAACGACTCATAGATTCGAGGAGAAATGACATGAAGCGTACAGCTCTTACAAAGGAAAGTGCGCTACACCTACGCACTGCTGGCCCAAAACATAGCCGCCCTTTAGTATGCTCACTGATGGTCTGTGACAGTGTCCAATGCAACTATTACACTACCATGTCATTAAGTTCTACTCGCCGAATACCTTCGTCACTCATTCAACTTATTTACCGTGCCTTGGCATCAACTTGTATCTTCAATTGAAGTTCGATAATTTTGACTTCTTCTTTATTCTGACATCTTTCAAATTCATTTCAGAGTATGCATGGATTCGCTCGCCAGGATCGACCTGTAACGATACATAGAAGAAGATGGGATGACAGACTAGAGAAGTAGCTTACCATCACCCTCGGTAATAATGTTTATTTGCTACTTTACATCTCGAGAATGTCTCTATTTCATATTGAACACAAGCTTCTATATAATAGAGAAACAAAGAAAGAGAAACGATACAAGTAAAACAATAGAGAAAGAAAAAGGAAATAGGAAGCAAAAAGAGCAGCGAATCGTGACGTATATATCGGCACAATAGAGTAATCATGTTTCATTCAATTGTAACAAAATTAAAATTATAGTAAACCTTAATGGAAGATTCTCGAAACGCCAATAGAAGAAAACAAAGAAATTATGCATTAAACTGATAGAGTTTTCTATGGGCTACAAAATGGTCTATTTAGTCTCTTTATATGTGGGGAAAAGAGCGTTGCAGAATAATTAATATGAAAATGAGTATTTTGAAAACGGTCCGTATTGGACATCCGGAGAGAATTTCGCGAACTATCTTTTGAAAAAAAGATTCTAGTATACATATATATACGTCACAATGCGAGAAAGTTATATGCAAAATACTAAGAGACTTGTTTATTCTGCCACACTCGGTATTACAAAGAAGAAAACTCTAAATATGCATACTATCTAAAAGAAACAAATTCGATATTTGATATGTTCATTACATAGCTTCATACATTACCTGGAAAGCTTTTCTATTGTTTCCTTAATAATCTTGATTTACTAATGATTCTTCTTTTCAGTTCAAAAGTATTTTCATACTTATCGAACTTATAATAATATCAGTTATATCAACAATAGACAAGTTGAATTTAAACAACTGTAACTAACGAAAAAACATCTCTTCAGCTATCTCCTTTAGATTTCAATAATTTTTTGCCTATATATATGTATATGATATATTGTGTTCTAATATACTCTAAAAGTATTTAGATTTAACTAAGCTATTGAAATCTAGTCTATTTGAATTCTCTATATAAGAAAAGTTTCAGATTGAAATTCGATAGATCAGTCAAGTTTCAATAGGAAGCCAATTTTTTTTTAATTAGAATACTAAGTAGTATCTAAAGGCGAAAATTTATTGAATTCGGAAGAGTTTTCGTTGTTAGTTTCACAGTCTATGACAATTATTGATCCATCATTGATAATTACCTTTTGCTCAAATCTTAACAAGTTAATGGAGCTGTAAAATCATATCATTCTATCATCTATCTCTCTATAATCTTAACACCTTTCCAAAATTAGCCTTTTTTTTTTAACAGTGTAAGGACAAAAAACAAGTGCATCAATTTACATCTTACAACATATATATATATGATTCAGATGATTACATAAACACTTTCGTCATATCTGTTCTTATATGGTTATATATAAGTATATCAAAAAATAGTTGTTGCTAATTTATCAAACGATTATAATCAAATCTAACAATGAATATTTTACAAATACAAAAAATTAAATGTTCTCAAAAGATTCTTGAAATCAAAGAGAAATTTTTGCTGAAAATAAAATGTATGCAATATTTGTCTTACAGAAATAAAAGAACATTTTCATATAAAAAAAACAAAAATATCTTGGTCATTCTGTATTTGAAGTGCAGAATGAATTTTATACCTGCAAATAAATATTTAATAAACAAAACTAAACTAACATCACACAAAATTTTTAGTAACATTATCTTACATATATTGTAATATGAGAAGATAAGATTATCATACAGATTATAAGATGTAAATAAGTTTTTGTAAATAGAATAAAGTAAAACTATGATAAATTTTTATTTTAATTGAATATTCAATATAGAATTATTAGTATTTTTGTAATTTTTGAAAAATCTAATGATATAGTCATCGTTCTTAATGAAGTACATATAGATTTCTAATTGATTATCATTGATGTATTTAAAAAAACAAAATTAATTGAAATTCTGAACGATAAATATCCGTAAAATAA